CCGTATGCAAGAAAGGGCATTTGACATCTGTGAGACCAGCGTCAGTCAGCTGATACATTGCCCGGAGTTCGAGCTGCAGCAGGTTCTTTTGACCGGAGGTCACCGTTCGTACACCCTGAAAGCGTTCAAAGTACGAGTTGATACTTTTTCCTTTTCAACAGATAGAGCAACAGAAAAGAATAAAAGATTTTGAAGGCACGGTTCACGCTGATTGCGAGTCAGTGTTGCAACTGTGCCTTCCCCATTTGCCGGTCGTTAGGCTTGACTCCGCCCATACGATCAGCGTGGACTGTGCCGGAACGTCATCGCCCAGTTCTAATGACCTCCCAACGTACCTTATCAGTAACGCGTGGACATTCTACGAGAGTGATCCGTTCGAGGCGTTTGTTGTTGGCGGTCAAAGCGGCTAACATCGAATCGGAGAGATCTTCGCTCAGATAGAATTTGAGCTCGGTGAGGTTGTCGGCAAACGTTGGCGACGACACTAGACGATCGCAATCCAACGCGGCCAACTATAAGGAATTCGGCTACAATTATAAAGAAAGAAACACCATGTATCACTTTCGCTTGGGCGCCATACTAGGGCTAATCTGGACATAAGCCACATCGACGAAATATGTCCCTATTCCTCTGAGGACCAAGTACGACCCCCTAACGGAGTTCTCCCAACGATGCTGAAGGCAGCGTTCAGACTTCGCGATGACGCGCGTCGACGCGCTGTAATGCTCTGCAACGCGCACCGACGTGCTACAATTAAAACAGCGCTTGGAAGCTGTGTACGCGAACTCAGACGGCCAATCTCTGATCAATGTCAAGGCATCATCTGCTATCTTTTTCGCATTACTCTCTCCAAACCCAAGCGGCCAGCCTTCATTGATCGAGCGTCGGCAGAACGGATTCGATCAGCGGTAGCCGTCCGCGGCTGCGTTCATGTCTACAGCTTTGGAGCGCTGCTGCAATTGCAGCGCGTCGTCGCGCGTCACAGCGCGCTACACCGCGTCGATACGTGTCATCGCGAAGTCTGAATGCTGTCGTACCCTGCTTGGTACCCGATGCATGGTTTGCTAAGGGTTTGCGATCCTTACCGCCAGTAGCCCCTTGTCATAGTGCTCAAATTCGCTCACCTGATCATGATTAGTGAAGAATTCAAGAAGTTTCTGTTTACATTCGATTGGTATCAAAGCCAGATGATCGTTGAGTTGATGCTGACATACAGCTGACAAACAGATGTTGAACAAAGATTTCACCATTGTCTCCGATAACTTATGTTAATCAATACGTTGTATAGGACAGTAAATAAAAGCAGAAATACGTTGAAGTCGTACTAGTTGAACCGGCGCATCAAAGCATCACTCGCATGAAAGAAACCCCTAAATTAGCACAATTTATATTCAGACGCGAAACTTAGCAAACGTACACTCCATATCCCAGAGATGGGGAGGGCGTGTTCAGGGACTGAATGCTGGGACGCAGCGGCACAGTTGTTCGGTCAGAGGAGGACGGCAGCATGAGCATAGAACAGCGCGGATGGAACAGGAATGTCGATCGGAGCACTTCGTACGTTGGGATACCCAGCAGGTGGTCCGCATTTGGTCGGTGGACAAACTGGAGCATTTATCCGGAAAAAAGGGTAGAAAGTTGGGGATAAATAGGAAAGATGGTAAGTAGGGTGAGAGCTGGGTAAAGTAGGGGGTATATTAGAGAAGGAAGTTTTGAGGGGGTCACGAAATTCTCCTCATCGGCAGGACGTGTCCTGACATCGATGACCCCTTTGCTCTGGCATGTGACTGTCTACAGATTCAACCACGGCCGCGCTCACATCTAGGTACATGGACAGCCCTCCCCATCTCTGGGATATGTATTGCATTTATCTTCGATCACGATGCAATATGTAAAAGAACAAGAAACCAACAAATTTGGTACAAGATATTAATAGATTTATTTGGCTGACGTTTCGGCCTGTCGCCTTCGTCGGAGCCTTAGGAGAGCACGGCTAGCTCGGGTTTCGACCACCGCTAAGCTAGCTGGTCTGGCCGAAACGTCAGCCAAATAAATCTGTTAATATCTTGGCTGTGGTTTGAACATCTAATCAGGAAGACCCCACACGATGCCAAGATTCATTGAAAGTCGATCATGGATGCTAAATCTGGTACAGCTAAGGTCGCAAATCGAAAAAAAGTTCTCATTATGTAGAGCATGTGCGTGCGGTTGCGTTGCGGTCCACTTCGAAGCATGCACGAAGCAACACGCGTTTAGTTCCGTTTACTCATAAAGCTGTGTGGCAGCTCAATACATATCTTCACGCTAAAAAGAACCGCGGAGAACTTATCGAGCCTTCTCATCGTGGGCAATGTGATGCCTGCCTCAATCCATGAAAGGGAGATTTCCTGGAGATCACGGGATCCTTATATAGGGCGTATTCTGAGAGCAACTCGAACAACAAAACAAACGTGAGCAAATCAACAAAAGAGATCAAATATAAGATGTGGAGAGGTACAGTCTTGCTCTCTGCTGGGCGTTTCAGGGGCTAGGCTTGGCGCAGCGCCTGTGCTTCTCCTCCAGCTGTGAAAGCTGGCAGATGACTACAACTGGGAGTAATCTGACTGGCGCCGCGCCAAACCCAGTTCCCTTGAAACGCCCCAGTGTCACCAGCGAACAAGACTCTATGGCTTCTGTGATGGCAAAGATCTCCGCAGAGAAATTCGGACCGGTTATATGGCTTCAAGTGGAAATGGATAGGATGACTACATGAAGCTGAATACGAGTGCTAGCAACACACTGAGTGAGGTGAGGCCTCGACGGTGTCCGATAGCACGTGAGAAACAGCGGTGTCCAACCGTCAGAACAGCAAGAGTGCAGACAAGCAACAGCAAAGGGAAAAAATTAGCTTGACGACTGAACGTTGATCGACACCGCCTTAACGAAGATTGTACTTTTGCACGCAGACACCAATATAGCTCGAGAATCAACCAATAAGCGGTTTTTTGGGACCTTTTGGCGGTCCTGCTCAATGCTTTTTACTTTGGGCAAGCATAATTTGGCCCCTTCAGCACCACTACACCGATTTGACTATCGGAACGTACCTGTACATGAGACATGATATCGAAGAGATTAGAGCGCTGTTCAGCAAGGGGTGGGGGGGCACATGCAGGTTCGCTAGTTCATCCCGCTAGTTAACGTTAACTAACCTGAGGACGTTTGGGAAGCTGCCAATTGGCGCAAGTGAGTCAGCTCGTAAATTCCTGTGACCCAAGTTCAAGTGAGTCACCTTGGCTGCAGGAATTTTCAGTCTTCACAGGGTGGAATGGAATGTACGAGCCTAGCTGAGTATCATTTTGTGCCCTCACGACGCCGAACTGCGCCTGAGATTAGATCCACGGGCTGTGGATGTGATAACGACACCACACACTGAAGTTCATCAGAGAAAAAACTGACTGGAGATCAAGTGCTCTGAAGGAAGGAAGACAGGTACATTGACAGACTGAAAAACAGGCGCAATGACAGGTTGATTGACAGACAGGCATTAAATGATTAAATAAAAAAATTATGCGAGAAACAGTGACTGAAAGAAAGGCTGGCAACATGACAGACAGATAGGTAGAGAACGGCTCAAAAGGTAGGAGAATGGAGCATTTGACATCGATTAAACATCGATTAATTCTTATTTGAGTGAGGCATGTCTTCGATTCAACGCTGTTGGGCTAAGGGACTAGGTGGGGGGGGGGTGTGGGCATTTTCTAGGTTCTCTGGATCACAGTATCTTCTTGATGAGACCTATAGACTTTCTTGTGTGAACGAAGCTCCCGCTATTGCAAAGGTTCACAGGTGTTCACGGGCCTCCGCAGGAACGGCCCCACCAAGCCCACCTCGCTGTCTATTTATACCATTTTCACTTTAAATTCACCCTTTTTCAAACCAAATTCACCCTTTTTCAAACCAAATTCACCCCTTTTCAAACCAAATTCACCCTTTTCAAATCAAATTCACCATCACTTTCCAAATCAAATTAACCACACTTATTAGGCCGGGCAACTCAAATCACGTAGACACCCGCCCCGACGGCCACGCCTACTTGTCAGGGCTAGATTTTCAAATCTTGTTTCATAACTTCTGCTTATGTGACTTTTCTTATCTTTTGCTTCCACAAACACTTTGGCAAAACGACTGAGCATTGACACATGGCCGACAACCGCCCATTCTCTAGAGTTTGGCAATCTAAGCTCCGCTCCTTGACCACGCCCCTTGCTTTTCGCGGAATTTTGATATTTTTTCGAAGTTTTTGCATTTTTGGAATGCCACGTGAAGCCCGCCTATTGTGAGAGGCTCCGCCCACTTTGAAGAAGCCCGGCCACTTCTCAAAAATGGTGCAAATCGGCAGTATAGAGTCTCGGCTGGCACGCTAGGGTATTGCTGATCATTCGGAACAAACTTATTTTCTTGTTCCGAGTGACGAACGAGACCCTAGCATGAAAGCCAAGACCCTATACTGCCGATTTGCACCATTTTTGAAAAGTGGGCGGGGCTTCTTTGGAGTGGGCGGAGCCTCTCACAGTGGGCGGGGCTTCACGTAGCAGTCCGAAAATGCAAAAATTTTGAAAAAATATCAAAATTCCGCGATAAGCAAGTGAGGCGTGATTTGCCCGGCCTAATAAGTGTGGTTAATTTGATTTGAAAGTGAGGTGAATTTGGTTTGAAAAGGGGTGAATTTGGTTTGAAAAAGGGTGAATTTAAAGTGAAAATGGTACATACCCAGAAACTCAGTGACTTATTAAAGGTACAGTGACTTGCGGTGATTTCTGATGTACAAGTCGGCGTTCTTATCCTCCCAGGCGAATCTGGTAGCAATTTACACTCTCTGGGGGTGAAAGCCTCGGCTGACCTGGGAGATCGATAGTTAGATGAACAGATAGAGGACAGAAAGAAAGAAAGAAAAAAAAAACGAATAGGGATGTGGGCAAACGAAAACAGAAATGGGGAAGAAGTGAGAAAATGAAGACAAGAAGAGGAGATGTGTAAGTTAGGGTGAAAGAGAGCTAAGGGCATATAGTTGCTAGGAAAAGGGCCGTAGCAACTATATGCCCTTAGCTCCAGACCGCCGATCCGCCTCCAGACCCCGCCTACTAGCGAAAAACGATGTTGGGGACGAGTAGCATAAAATGGTAGCTCCATTCTCGCTTATGGACGTGAAGGGTCCATTAAAAGGAATCAGCTGACTTGGCGACTCGCTCACACAAACTGTCTCTTCACCATGAACTCGTACTGGGCCGTGCCTTTAAGTACAGCGGCAAATAATGAACGAGTGGCAGAGGTGTTCGTGGCGAGACAAATATTTTCGTCTCAAAAACCAAATCGTGAAAAATGATAGTCTAACTGTTAAGTACAAGTGAAAAACAAGAGAAGGGTAATGAAATTGGGGCCACGATTAATGAGTGATCTTGAGCCTCAAGGCAAAGCACAGGACCAGCTGATGAGCACAGACAAAACATTCTCCAGTGCACAGACCACAATTGTTTTTGTTTTGGGGCGATGCCTCTTGACAAACGGTCCGTTAAAACCACGAGCCTTTGTCTTGTGATCGGGAACGGACCGAATGAAAAATACAAAAAGTTCTCCAAATCAAAAACCGATGGTCGAAAGACGATCATTTTGCGACTTACCTAAGCCAGTCTATGTGGTGCAATAGATTTTAGCCTTCGTTTCCCCTCTGGAATGTTGCCGCAAATGCGGTCGAGCTACGGTAAGAGAGGCAAAACCTTACAGTGGGACGTATAAGCTTCAGTGTTCCAAATGCATTCAGAGGCATTTCACTGGGTATATGAAAATTATGTCCAAAAAAGCGCTATGCAGACGATTATCCGGGGAATGCGTACCTTCCCACCAATCGCTGTTGATGGGCTAGGGTCCCCGTTTCCGGCAAAACAAGAGCGGCACTGCTTAAGAGAAATTCTTTCCCAAATAGAGGGTTCCTCTAGTATAAATGTCTTTTCCCGCAGAAACGCTGGCCAGGGTTGTATTAGACCTCAAAATTGTTAGGAAATTCGGTAAGCCTGTTGTGGGAAAGGGGAAAGAAAGCTGACGATGAGGTCGTACTGACAACGTCATCTCATCCGTTCCTGATACTCTATCCTAGTAGTACACCCTGCTCGGCTGCAGTGGAGTCTCGTCCTCTGGCATCGAAATGTCACACAGATTGAGGAAAGGGACGAAAAGGACAAGGTGAGGGCTCCTCCAGCAGAAATGGGTTCTCCCG